TTGGTTTGGTTGTTTCTAAAACTTTTTTAAAAATTATTGAATGCTTTAGAAATTAGGTAAAGTTATTTGTAATTACAATTCAGTTGTGTATTCTGCTCACAATGAGACAAGATGAGCATTACTTGTATTTTTAGATGTGTCGGAAACCAGTCTCATTTCGGATGATAGCAAATATCAGTGAGTACGTAGCAGCCCTTGAAACCCTTATGTTTAGTTAGGTAAAGTTTAAGTAAATGTGTCGTGTTTAAAAACAAAATTCAGCTGAGTGAATTTTAAAGATTGTACTGGCTTTATTGAAGGATTCATGAACCAGGCAGCATGCACCTGGCAGACAGGAAGGAGCTCTGAGTAACTGAACAAGATGAAGGACTTTTATAAGCAGAAGTGAGCAGGACAAGGAAGATATACTAGGCAAAAAAACAGATTTGTTATTGCCAAGGTCACTGTCCTTTAGGGGGTGGCTGGGGTCTATCAGGCGGATGAACTAACTAGTGCTGAGCAGGCAGTTCCTGATTGACCAGTATAAGATTCCCTGTCTGGGAGAGCTGAAACTTCAATGAAGTCTCTGCTGGGTGACAAGGGGGTGGGGCTTAGTGTAAGTGCCTCCATTTTGGGTCCCTGTTGTCTAGTTTTTAACATTTGGCTGTGGATTTAGAGTTACAAATGAGGTAAAAGTTGAATTGTGAAAGAGTTGAAGTTACTCTTTCAGGGTATGAAATCTACCTCACCCTCATTCTTTGTAGTGACATGCAAATGAGGAAGTAAGATACCCAGTATAACTGTTAAGTATTTATGTCCCACTGGTTTTTCTTCGTTTAACTCCAGGGAATTTTTTTTCTTTTTTAAGAATCTGTTTTTTCTGAGGTTTTGAATTTGCCTAGCAATTGCTAGGAAAGATAGAAAAGATAGTGAGCTGAATGGCTGGAATTTGACATAGGAATAATGCGTTTCTTTATTTACCTTTGCATGATTTTAAAGAGAACTAAGATTTCACTTATCTTTTACTGTTGCTTTTCTTTCTCCTTTGTGAAAACCCAGTATGTGTTACTTGACTATTCTGAAATTCAAAATATTCTGAAAAGCTTTCTTCTATTGATACTTCTATGGTTTCTTATTCTCATCTTATTTTATCTTTGGGTTTCATAATGTGCACTCCTAAGTGTAAATGGAAACCTACTTGAAATAATTGGTACTTGTGATTAACAAGATACTTGTAGAATTTTGTCTTTCTTATAGTTCTTTAGCTCTATGTCAATACTATGAACATTTTTTGATGATCCCTTAATACTGAGTCATTCATACTTCATGGACGTTTATATTGAAATATTTAGGAAGATGTGTAAAGATGGTCATGCATGATGATGCCACTGGTGATGTCGGCTATTGGTTTTTGAGTTCAGCAAAAAATAATTCAGAGACGAAAACTCTAGCACAAGAGGAAGATTATTTAGCATGTAGAACAAAAGTACACTCAAAGAGAAGATTCAAGCAGCCTTAGAGAGCTGCCTTGGCCTTATAGAAAGAAAGTGACAGAGACAAAAGAAAAGTAAGCCAGCTGGGCTGTGTTGACTCAGAAAACAAGTTATGGAGGCAAAAGAAGGACCATTGGAGGCAGGTTCAGGGGTTAGCCTAGGATGAGTTGCTGCTGCCCACTACTCCCCTGGTTGTGAGTCTCTTGGGGACCCTTAGAGCTTAGGAGAAATAAAGCAAAGATACACGCCTGAAAAGAAGGCCAGGACATGTTCCAGAGAGAGAGTTCATGAGAGTGCATGTGCATGTGCAAGTATGTGCACTGGGTTCTTTGTCTTAAGGGTTTTTATCTGTTTTCTAAATGCAGGAATTAAAGGGAGGTCTCAGGGTAGGATCTCAATAGAATATTCATCAGTTTTCCAGGTGTATCCTTTAATATGTTGATTCATCAAAATGAATACATGGAACCCTGGCAGGTTTGGCTCAGTGGTAGAGCAATGGCCTGCAGACCAATGAGTCTCGGGTTCAATTTAGCCAAGGGCATGTACCTCGGTTGCAGTTAGTCCTGGCCCTGGTCAGGGTCATGCGGGAGGCAACCGGTAGGTGTATCCTTCTCACATCAATGTTTCTCTTTCTCTCCCTCTTTCTCCCTCCCACTCTATCTGAAGATAAATAGAAAAATATCCTCGGATGAGGATTAAAAAAAATAAAATAAAAAATGAGCATACGGAGTCAGAGTCATGGTCTCTAACTGCTTGGTCAGTGCTAGGGTCGGGGGATCCTTGGTCTTTGCAGCTGATCCTGATGCCAGCCAGGGCTTGCTTCATCTGGTTTTGCTGCTTTTCTGGGACTGGAGCTGAAACACAACTGAGACCTAGATGTTATCTCTAGCTTAACAAAAACTCTCTCTGTGGTTAACAGACCCCAGGCTTTGTTCCTAAAATTTGATACTAATCTAGTCACAACCTTATTGTCCTGAGGGCTTAGTGCTTGAGGGAATGTATGTGCAAGGGAGCTGGAGGCAGGCAAGTCAGGGTGCTGGAGGCCAGTTTGAATGAGCCATCTCTCTCAGATTCCCCATTCCACTTTCCAAGGAGTTTTCCTCACTTCCTACTGTCCTGCCTCAATCAGACAAGGGCCACTGGGAAGGAAGAGCAGTCTCTACAGGGCTCTTTCTGCCCTCTAGACCATATTTCTGTCGTGGTGGTCGTGTCCCCCTTTCCATCACATCCTGATTTCATGCCTGTTTGGATGAGCACACTCAACGAGTAGAACCTGAGGCATGGGAAAGGGCCTTGACAGCCACTCTTGCGAGGTGAGAATTTTTTAATGATGTGCGATCGTTTTATTTTTTAAATGTGTTTGCTACTTTGACTGGTGGATAACGAAATACTACAATTAAAGGGCTTTGCTTTGCTGCATTTGGGGAGAATACAAATAGGAAAATATGCACAGCTTATTCAGGTTTTCCTTGTTTTGGCTGTTTCCAAATTGGACACTTGAGGATAAATAAATAGGTCTTCTCTAAAGGCCAGAGGTGGTTTATCAGACCCATACTCATCCAGTATGACCCAGGAATGGTTTGTTAAAAAATAATCCTAGAAAAATGGCAGTTGTAACAAAATCAGCTACCAGAGTAAACCCTTTCTATATGAAAATCTTAGCACAGCACTTAAAAATCACTAGAGTCATTCATTAAAATGTTAACTCACTGAGATCCAAAGGCTTTTGAAAATTATTTTGTAGCTCGTTTGGCCTCTGAATAAAAAGACTGTAAAGATTAACTAATAAAAAGTGTAGCCCTGGCCGGTTTCTCAGTGGTTAGAGCATTGGCCTGTGGTCCAGAAAGAACCAGGTTTGGTTCCTGCTAAGGGTGCGTACCTCGGTTGTAGTTTGTCCCCAGCCCTGGTTGGGTTGTGGGTGCGGGAGGCAGCCACTCGATGTGTCCCTTTCACATCGATGTTTCTCTCTCTCTGTCTCTTTCTCTCTGGCCTTCTCTCGGGTGAGGATTAAAAAAAAAAAGTGTAACAACTGCCATTGAATCCTCTTTTTTAGGGAAAAGAGTTGTTATTAGAAAATCCAAAGGGTACAAAGTAGACTCATTTGTTGAGACACATTATAGCATCACTGGGGGGTTCCTTCTTAACATCTGGGATTAATGTTCCCTTTGTTTTTATTCTGATAGAGATTAATACAGTACTTCCACCTTCAAATCCCCCAAGAAGCCTATTGAGTGAAGGGAAATAGGGCACATTACTCTGGATTCTTTCTGAGCACAGGTGAGAACTTCTGACCTCTTCCACCCCTCTCATTTGCATGACTACGAGGAAACTGAAACCTAAGGAGGTTAAAATGACTCACCCTGGGAGAGACAGCGAGCTAGCGCCGCCAAAACTGGGGACCCTCAGTTGGTTAGCACTGATGTCAGTGTCTGCTGCCCCTTAGATATGCAATCCCCTCCAGGTAAACTTTAGCAGCAAAGGTGTTGTGGGCTCTGCACCCCTGGATCTCAGTTAATCCCCACCCTCCACCCCATTCCCCTTTACAATGGACTCACTTGGTGAGAAGTAGTGACGGCAGAGACAACCACGGGAGATCAGTGGGTCTCAGTTCTCTGGGAAAAGGCAAAAGAATAACAAAGGTATCTTGCCAGGGAGTGCAGGACTATGTGTAAGCCTCACTGTGTGTGAGGGCCACTGAAGTTTGGGAGGGTATTGTAGCTGTTATTTTCGCAACTGGAGAAAAGGTTTTTAGAAAAGGGGAAAAAGCCAGTACAAAGACAATTTTATAAATAGATTATTAATTCTCAAAAGGTAGGCTTTTTGTGGGGACCACAGTCTACTTTTCATTGCACGAGCAAAGAAGCATTGGGTTTTCCTGAGAGTGAAGTATGGAGGGACATTCTAAGGGCGCAGAGAATGAATGGTGCAACTCGGACTCCAGGGGTCCTGGCTGTGATAGAGGGCCGGTGGGTTGAGGGATGAGATGCTCTCAATCTAGTGGCTGTGGCTGATTAAACAATCCTTTAAAGGCAATCAGAGGCTTTTTAAAAATACCTACATATTTACCTGAAAACCTTGTGGAATTCTAAAAGGACTGAATTATTTGTAGTTGTTAGCTTCTGTTTGTTTATGTAATTTTAAAAACTATCTTTACAGTCTTTGATCATGTTTTTAAAAATGTTTTGCACTCCTATAGCCCTGATTCCTTCAGTGTCTTATGAGTTTAATATACAGCAACTGGACTATTTGCTATTGTTTTCCTGGTCCACCTCCCCCCCTACCCCCCCCCAGATTATGAGTTATGAGTAGGAGATCACCTACTGTTACACTAATGCGCTCTCCAGGGCGCATTGACGACTGCTTAGGTGCGGTTATAATTCTTGTTTGCCCCTGGGCGGTTGCCAGCAGGGAGTAGAGCATTGTGGGAAGTCGTTTCTTTACCTTCCACAACAGGTGTCTTTGTCAGTGCACCTTACTCAGGCACCAGTGTGGAAGCACTGAGACTCTGCAGCAGAGAGAACTATGAAAGCAAGAGGGGCTGCTTTCCCATCTGGAAAATGGTCTGCAAGATAAGCCTGAGCTCTCCGGGTGCTCGTCAAGGCAGAAGGGGTTCACAGACTCTTCTACCTCACTTCTGAAAAGATAAAAAGGAATTCAAAAGGTACGAGCTGCCTGGCGCCTTAGAATGCGTGTCTCCTGCTTATCATTTCATTTTTGCCAGGTTAGTCAGTGTTGAGATTAATGTGCTGGAAACATTTTTTAATGAAAGTAATGCTTAAAAGACAAAACTGCATTGTAGGAAAAAATAGGAAGTAAAAATGCTTTACCGGTTCCAGCAAGGGTCAAACGCAGTTGAAGCCGTTTTAATCCTGAGGATTTATGTGAAGTATTGCATTTTCTGTTTAAAGAAGCCTATTAGATTTGCTTCTGTTTCCCAGCAATACATTCTTGCTGGGAAACACACCCTTCCTTGGGGTGTTTCATCCAGAATGCTGCAGTGGTTGTAAAACTCCCCGAGTCACTTTTAAACGGAACCGGTGCTATTTAAGTAATCATGTTAATCTAGCTGAAGCTACTTTAGGAAAACGAGGGAAAATAGATACTATAAATTTCATTCTGAGTTTTGTTTTCAGAAAAGCAAACAAACTTTGCACAACATGATATGGCTGTCAGTAATTAGGACCAAAAAACACACCCAGTGTCTGTGTTTGATTGTGGACAAACACTGTCAAATTGGTTTCTAATGTAGCAGTAACGTTGCTCATTGCACTGCGGTGTCGTCGTAATCTGCAGACAGTGGAGAAGACAATAGCTTGAGTATAAATATTGGATAAACTTGAGGAGCTTTGACCCCCCTCCCTTGTTTACTTACTGCTTTTCCATGGAATTGGTGTATTTTATTTCCTGATAATTTAGGCAACTTTGTAGTGATAGTGATGGGCAGCTTTGGATTTTTCACCGGGGACACTGAGGTTCATTTACAGTGGCCAGCGGTACTTTAAAAGCTCTTCAGGTGGCGGAGGCGCCCGCACTTCTGGCTATCTGCTCACTTGGGCAATTCCAAGAAAGCTCTGAGCTTAAACATAAAAGATGAAAAGAACTTTTTCCTAACTTGAGTTGCTTTCTGAATAACAACAGAAAACGAAGTTCTTCAAATGTAGAATTCTGTTCTTAATTGTGGTAGGAGGGGAAATAATTATTAGTTGATATTGCAGTCCCTGTTTCATTTTTATATTTTGGTACTTTTTTTTTTCCTAACAGAATATTCAGAGGGGGAAAAGCATCTTTTTTTCCTTTCATACCTCAGGAGAGAATTTTTAACTGCACCAAGAATACTAGAAATTCTGAAACATTAAAGGTTACCATCTATGCATTTCCTATAAATGTGAAAAAATAAGCAGTAAGAAAATCCACTTCTCTTCCAAGAAGAAGAATCTTGACATAAATAATACTGAAGAAGATAAACTTTAAAAAGTTCTAACTACCAAGAGCATGACATAAACCCATTAAAAATTTTTTCCCATAGGATATTTTCAGTTAGGAAACTTTTCTTAATTTCTCTTTTTCGAAGTTTAAAGATTTCCAAAAAGTGAACTTTCCAGCGTCTGTGTTAAGAATGCAGAAGGTGTCTGCCCTGTGTACTTCCTCCTCAGATGAGAGACCTCCCTTGGTTTTCTACTGGCCGGTGAATTGCCACACAAGCCTGTGACAGCAGCTGCTGTTTTTTCAATTTTATTCTTTCTGGATTTTTGACACTCCACCCCCACAGACTCAGGTGGGTGTGTGCATTGGCACTGAGACAGCCTGGTCAGGAGCTGGGCAGCAGCTGCTGCTGTGGGAACCACCAGCTGGCAAGATGATGGAAGAAATCTCCATTACGGTTGCCTATGATGCCCACGTCTTCAGCCAGCTGCATGATGAAGACTTCCTCACTAGTCTGGTGGCCATCAGCAAGCCCCGGTCTATGGTAGGTGGTGCCTTGCACGCTGCTCTGGGCTGGCTCTTTCTTTTCTGAGGTGATAGTTATACTCCTCCAGCAACTGAGACATGGCTGCCTGGGGATTAAAATAAAAGTATTGCTCTTGGCTTTGTGTTACAGACCACAGCAAGGTCTACGGGTTTCCAATGATCTGTTTACATAACTACACGTTGTTATACCTTAGTAGTACATTTCAAGTGTCTTAGGAGTAAAACTTAGGTTAATGCTTTCTTAGGTGGTGAGGCCGATGGGAGTTTTATATTGCTAGACGTCACTTTGCCCCACAGTATGTACCCTCTGTGCACGTATACGTTTATTAGGGCTACCTACATTTGCACACAAATAATTCAGTCTTTTTGAAGTGGAACATTTTTACCAGTGAGCCATAACATTGACATGGAGAATTGAACTATCTAAAAATCAAATAACTTTCAGCATCTTTACAGTATTAGTAAGAACTATTATGAAAATGACTTCTAGTATAATCCTGGTTTGGACTTACTATTTGTTGTTGTTTTTACCATTCTCCAAGGTTCTTGATGTACATGTCTTGGTAGAATAGAACAATGAACTTCTTGCAAATGTTTGTTGTTTCTTCTCTGTAGATATTGTTCTTGTAATGGCTATTGAGTTTAAGATATTAGTGATCCATACCTTTTAAGCAAACTTTCCTAATGATTTTTAATCATTTTTTAATAGCCCTCTTCACAAGCAACAGAATGAAAGAGTACAGTATATTATAACAGTTATCTTACTAGTTTGAAAGCCTAACTCTCTATTTTAAGGCATAGGAACCTTAAGAATATAATATGGCAATTTCTTCAAATAATAAATTGCAATGAAAGAAATAAAGGGATAATTCATAGATTGTTTTAAAAAGACTTAGGGGTTATATCAACCAGATGTAGTTACTGACCTTTTAAGATGCTGATTTGAACAAACTATAACAAACATCTGTAAGATAATTGGGGAAAATTTCATCACTAGGTATTTAGTGATATTAAGAGAATTATTCGATTTGTGTGTGTGTGTGTGTGCGCACGCAATAATGATAGCATGATTAGGTTAAAAACATGGATAAAACTAGATGACTGTTGATAATTGTTGAAACGGGGAGATGAATACAGAGGGATTTTTGATACTGTTCGCTCTCGTAGCCATTTTATTGATGCGGTTTAATAGAATTAGCTGACCAAAAATAATAGTAAAAGCTAAACAAATACAACATGATATATGTCTGTGTTTATTAATAAAGAAATATCTACCCTGTTCTGCATTCTTTCCTTATTTAATATATATAATCTCTCTTTATAATTATATGCAATATATGGAGATCTTTACCAACCCTCAGTTAACCACCATAGAAATACCAAATCAAGATAGGGTAGTCCATGTTGTAGATAATCTTTAAACTTAATTTTAGCCACTGATTTTATAATATTCCACTGTGCGTACTTATCCAAAGAATTCAGAATTATATTTTATGTTGTTCTGATCATCTTGTCAACATCCTCTTATAGGGTCTGAGCTGTCTTCAAAACTTGCCAACATTTTCCAGGCAAAAGGGGAGATGAAATAAAAACAGGGAGAGGTAAAGTAGCACAGAGGAGAGGACAGGGCGCCGCAGAGGTGGAAAGTGACCGAGTGGTAGGGAACGCCCTGGGCTGGGTCCGGAGGGGACTGGCGTGGTGCGTGTGCGTGCGTGCCTGCAGGAGCCAGGGGGAGACAGGGTGAATGAGTGAATGTTAGTGTGTTCACCGGGAAACACACTTCCATTTGGGGGTGATATGAGTAGTCTATTCATTGATATATATCAACTTAAGCTCCCTCAAAGGGGACTCCTACTCCTAACCTTGGAGCTTATTTGATATGAAATTTGGTTACAGTTGTGGAAAGCCTCAGAGGTGTGATGCACAAACCTTGCTCTGTATACCAGACTCTTAAACATCTAGGTGTTGGGTGTTGAATTTAATTGTACAACTTTCTGGAGACATTTTGTTTTCTTATCAGATTTGAAATGTAAAAGAGTTGATGGGTACAGCCTTTTGGAGGTGATACTTGGGTTCATCTGGAAAAGTTTTACTAAAATTGCGCTAAGATAAAATATTTATATTTGCCTTTCATTTCATATTGAATTTTTTCCTTTGTCTGAGATGAACCCTTTACATGTGTGAAAGAGATAAATATTCAGATTTTCTAGAGTATAAAATAAATTGCTTCTCAGTCTGATTTATTACTGCATCGTGAAGCAAATTACATTCTTGCTAACAGTAAAACCTCTGAGTTCAGGTTGAACTGTCACATAGACTTTTTAGAAGTATTTAGAAGTTTATTTAGTGCAGGATTAATGAAATATATTTCTGTATTTGGACTTTATTTTATAATGTGAGATATCTCGATTCCTTAAATGGTAAAAATTGCATTAGGTATAGTGGTTTTGGTGTGGAAATGGAATCTTCTCTTGTTCTTAAGTAGCCCTGTGGCTTTCTGACATTTTTGAAGGAGACTCATAGTAAAAAGTACATTTCAGGTCATTATACACACAAGACTGAAAGGAAATTTGACTAAGCAATACTTACTGTTGCTGCATGTGGTGTATGCAGGTTCTTTTCTGTTGTATATAATTGTTTAAAGGCTAGTTATGAGCCACTAAATTGATTTCAGAAATGTCTTGATCCATACTTCAAAAAAAATGTGGCTATATCCTATTGATTCTTTAAAAATGAATGACAATGCAAGAAATTCACAGGCCCTTTTATCCAGGCCCCTGTAGACAAGTCACCGATAAGAAAAAGGATAAGGAAGCCAAGCAGAACTTATCTTGTCTTCCAGATCATCCATGCACACATAGAATGAGAAACTGTCCAGACCGGTGTTGTTTTACTAAGATAAACTAAACTGGACTCACCGCTAGCGGAACTTAAGAACGTTTGCGTCCCAGCACGAATACGTTGGTGTAGGGGAAATCCAGTAGAGTCAGAGCGACTCCAGGAATATTTAGAAAGGTACCCCATCTGACACAGTATTCCTGCCTTCCCTTAAATCCACAGATTACTTTCTTTGGTTTTTCCCTGGCTGAAATGAGCTGCCCTGCGTTTTGAGGCAGAATTGTGGCCTCTCCCATCCTCCCCCCCCCCCCCCCCCACACACACACACAAACCACAGGGGTCTTTAAATGCAGCCTGAGCGGCTCACTCAGGAGCAGTAGCAGCTGAAGTGTCCTCCCTGTCTGCTCTGAGGGGTTGGCTGGCGGTCCTCTCTATGGCCTCCACCATTTCTGGTTACTTTTGTATCTGACCAGTGTGAATAAAGGGAGAATTTATTTACATTTACATTTACTATGCATTACAAACGAAGATTTGAATATGTATTTACATTCAAAATGTATGATTTAATCTTTGAACAGTGAACAAGCTTAGTAACCAATGCATACTCAGTCAAGCTTGAATATTTCAGATTAAATATTAATTTATATTCTAAATTAATTCAGCTTTTTAATGTTTCCTTATGAAGAAAACATTGTTTCTTTCTGATCATGTTAGTAGAGGCCAGTATGTAATATTATAAACATTTTGGGATTATTACAATGTGCTGGGTTTAAATAGAATCCTTTCCTTCAAAGACCTTACAGTCAAGTAAGAGAGAGAAGCAAAGTAAATACTTATGGGGGTGATTTGCTATCCTAGGGTAGAACGAAGTGGAGAGCAGTTACTGCTAATTGAACAGTGGGGAAAAGTCTTCAAAGGTGATAGTGGAAACATGTAAGTTAGGTTTGGGGTTGATTTTTTGTTTTGATTGTTTTTTTCCACTATATTCCTCCACTGAATCTTGGTTGCCACAGTCAGACAGACAGACAGACAGTGCAAGGACCCTTTCTTCTTGCACCTGCACTGGAGCCTTAGCACGGAGGTGGGAAGTGAGGCTTTGAAGGCTGACCAGATGCTTGGTGCCGGGAGAAGGGATAGGGCCTTTCTGAGCAGGGGAACAGTTTGTGCAAAGTCTGAGAGGTCAAGTGTGTGGGGGTGTTCATGTTACAGCCTGCAGTTCAAGTTTTACACCTGCCACTTACCAGTAGTTACTTCCTCTCAGGTTCACTTTCCTCACCTGAGAAGGGACATAGTGCCACCTCGCTGGATCACTGTACGGATCCAGTGAGTTACTTGTGAAATATTTAGCACAGACAGTGTGAACGTCTCCCCTTCTAGCAAGGGAAAGGCCATTCGAACTGTGTAGGCAAGGCCGAAAGGAAGGAGTGGGCTGAGTACAAAGGCCTGCAGGGATGAAGGTGGGGTGGGCAAAAGCAGGACAAGGCCAAGTTGGGTCACCCTGGCAAATTACTTTAAGTAGGCAGTCACTATCAGGATCTCAGTCCTACAGGAAACTGGAAGCCTTCTGCCCTAAAAAAGGTGCAGTGGATCTTAGGCTGAGCCCCGGGGTCCTGGGAAGGCAATGTGGAGTCAGTGGGAGGGGTTTATATGGGCCAGACCCTCTGCCGAGCAGATGTATCCATTCCTGCAACAGTCCTCTGGCAGTGATGGACTGACAGGGGCCACACTACCCATGGAAAAATTAAAGGGCATTGCCACAGTGCAGGTGAAAAGAGTTGACAAGTGTCTATAGACGTAGGCCCTTGACAGTGGCAGTGTGAATAAAGAAATTAGTCCACACATGCTGGTTGGTTCTCTCAGTGGATTGTATCTCTGTGTAGCATTCCTTAGGAATAAGCAACCACTGATCTGCATGCGAAGAGTAAATGATAAAGAGAAGGTGAAGCTTCCCACCATGTACAATTGGAAAGATTGTTCAGGTCACCTTGAACAGCAAAGTTGGATGTCAACAATGGAATGGAGAAAAGATGGCCCCTTCTGACTTTACTGTGTTCCACATCTAGAAATGTTACGTTCTTGTCCCTGTAAGACACTTGGTATTCAGTGGTTAGAACATTAACCCTTAGCAAAAGCTGTTGACCCAGACTAACACATCTAGAC